CAGCACCCGCAGCCTGCAGGGTGAGAATCAAGCTCCTCCATGCGGTTCCTAAGTGCAGTGCTTGGTGATCTGGGTGTGCCTCCCACCTCACGATCTGGTGGCATCAGACAGTGGTCATATTATTATCACCCGTGTGGACCTGTGGGCCTTGTTTTACGACAGGTCGTGGGGGGCGTGTCTTTGCTGAGGGGACTTGGGGGCAGCTGGGGTGAAGCATAGTAAGGCTAGAATCGCTGTGGCTTCCTTGAGTACATGTCTAGCACTGGTCCTGTCACACAAGATGTCTGCACATTCCATTCTGTGTGTTGGGTTCCAAGACGGTGTGTCCCAATGACCATGGCAGAAAGTGCTAGACTTCTGAGGGCATGGAAGTCAGAGTGCTGCTCCACCTGGCGGAAGCCCACCTGGATCCGAGGGAGGGGGCGTAGACCCCACCCCTGCTGAGGGGCGTGTGAGAGCATTTGTCACACAAGGTGTTTATCCAAGTTGGATGTCTTTATTTTTTCAGTGCACTTTGTCTTTCACATATGCGTTTGTGAGTATGAAGGATGGATTCTCAATAGAGCACAACTGTTTGATACTTATTTTTTAAACTTTTAATGTGTTTTGGGTGACAGTTCACAGGGCAAATGTGTTTTTTATTCAGCAGTTCATACACATTTTGTTTCATGACACTGATTACAATTTCCACAATGTAACAGCTCTCTTCCCCACTTCCTCCTTATGGTTCCCTTTTCCCTGTGTCCTTTTCTGTGCATTCCTGCCTCCTGAGTTTGCTTTTTGCATAAATGCTCCCCTTCTGGGATGGCTAAAGTTGTGTGTCAACGTGACTGGGCAGCTGGATGCACTTAGTCCTCATAATGAGACTGAGTGTGTTGTAATCAACTCCATGGTCAAATCTGCTGTGAGCAGCTAACCAGTTGCCTTTGGGATGTGGCCTGCTTCCAGTATATAAGGAGATGCTTTAAGAAAGGGCTAGAGCTTCTTGGCACATCTGGATCCTGTATTTGGCAGAGTCAGTAGTGGCCTCACATGTTGCCTGCTGATCTTGGGGACTGTTTTTTAGACTTGAACTAGTGATTGCCAATGGTTGAGTGTTCTGAGGAGTGCACCTTCCTGGTGTAATTGTTCCCCTGTAGACCTGTCTATTATTTGGCGAGGGTTAAGCCATGGAAGTGAGTTCAGTTCCAGGTCCAAAGGGTGACTAGGGGCTGTAGTCTCAGGGTTTAGCAGTCTCTATCAGACCAGTAAGCCTGGTCTTTTATATTATTTTGAAAGCTGTTCCACATTTTTCTCCCACTCTATCCAGGATCTCCTATCTTGATCCCTTTCTGAGTAGTTGGCAGTGGTAACTGGGCACCATCTAGTTCTTCTGTCTTAGGGTCATGTAGGCTGAGGTTCCCATGGTCCATTAGTCCCTTGAACTAATTGTTTCCATATGTCTTTAATTTTCTGCACTCTGCTTTGCTCTGGATGAGGAGAGACTACTAGTTACATCTTAGATGGCTGCCCATAAGCTTTTAAGACCCCATCTGCTGCTCACCAAAGTAGGATGTAGAACAATGTCTTTTGTGTAGTACCAGTTGAGCTCGATGTCCTGTGACCATGGTTCCAAGCATGCAGGCCCAACACGCTCTCCCCCAAGGTGTTTGGTTGTGGCTAAGAAGTTATCATAATTTTGTTCCCTGTTTGCTCCGTAACATGTATGGACATTTTTACAGCATATATACATTTGTGTATAGCAGTATTGTCTGCCAAACCTATATATGGTCATGGATATATTCTCAGTTGCTTACTCATGCCTGATCATCTTGCCTGTCTACCTATGTAACCACCTATGGATTAATATTACTACTGATAATGCAGGACTGTGTGTGTATAAAATTGTTTCATGGATTCTTCCTTATTCTTTATTGTTGCATATATACCATGGTTTGTTTATCGATTCATCTGCTGATGGGTTCATAGGTTGTTTCCATCTCTTTGCTATTGTGAATAGTGCTGTGATAAACATGGGTGCACATAGAGCTATTTGTGTTCCGGTTCTCACTTCTTTAGGAAATATAACTAGTAATGGAATTGTTGGATCAGCTCATATTTCTAGTTGATTGTTCTTCCAATGTTGAACTATCCTTGAATGCCTGGTATGAATCCCGCTTGTTCATGGTGTGTTATTTTTTGATATAGTGTTGGATTCTATTGGCTAGGATTTTTTTGAGGATTTTTGCATCTATATTCATGAGGGATTTTGGTCTGTAATTTTCCTTTTTAGTGGTGTCTGTGCCTGGTTTTGGTATTAGGATTATGCTTGCTTCATAAAATGAATTTGGGAGTATTCTACTCTTTTCTGTGTTCTGGGGTTGAGTAGTATTAGTGTTGGCCCTTCTCTGAATGTTTGGTAGAATTCTCCAGTGAAGCTGTCTAGGCTAGGACTTTTTTTGTTTGTAGTTTTTTTTTACGACCTGTTTAGTTTCTTCTTTTGTTATGGGTCTGTTAAGATTTTCTGCCTCAGTTTTTGTTTAGATTAGAGTGTGTTTCTAGAAATCTGTCCATTTCTTCTAGGTTTTCAAATTTGTTGGAGTATAGTTCTTCATAGTATCCTGATATTACCCTTTTTATTTTGGTTGGTTTTGTTGTGATGTCATCCATTTCATACTCATGTTGTTTGCATCTTCTCCTTCTTTTCCATTGTTAAATTTGCCAGTGGTTATTTCTAACTATATAGCATTATGATCTGAGAAGACACTTCGCAGTTATTTTGATGTTTTTAAATTTATCGAGGCTTGCTTTGTGTCCTAACATATGGTCTATTCTGGAGAGTGTCCTATGTGTGCTGGAAAGGAATATATATTATACTGTTGTGGGCTGATGTGCTCTGTATGTGTCTATAAGGTCAAGTTGTGTATTGTTTAGTTCTTCTGTGTCTTTGTTGAGTTTCTTTATAGTTGTTTTATCCTTCATTTAAGGTAGTGTATTAAAGTCTACTATTACTGTGGAGTTATTTCTTGTTTCAATTCCATTAAGAGTTTGATTTCTGTATTTTGAGGCTCGTTAATTAAGTGGGGATATTTATTATGGTTATGCCCTCTCATTTGATTGACCCTTTAATTGTTATATAATATCCTTCCTTGTCTCTTACGGTGGTTTTGTCTTGATGTCTATTTTATCAGTAATTAATATTGCCACTCCTATTCTTTTTTGATTGCCATTTGCTTGATACATTTTTTTTCCCAAGTTTTGAGTTTTAGTCTATTTTTGTTTTGTGTCTGAGATGAGTCTCTTGTAGACAGAATATCGATGGTCATGTTTTCTTAGTCTCCAGTTCTCTCTTGATTGCTGCATTTGATCCATTTATATTCAGTGTAATTATTGACAAATATGAATTTATTGCTGTCATTTTATTACATGATTTTTTGTGGTGTTGCAGAGTTCTTTGTTCCATATAATTTTCTGGGCTGAACTCATTTTATTTATGAATTTTTAAAATCATTTCCTTGATTGCTGCTATTTGAGTTTTTGCTAAATATTTGTGCCTCTCTTTTTTATTTTGATGAGAAGGTTTATTAATTTTCTCTGGAGTTACCTTGTGGTTTATTACTTTCTTCCCAAGCTTAATATGACCTATCTCATAATTGTCTTGATTTCCTCTCCATTTGGAAGTTCTGTAACTACACTATTTATTCTCTCTTTTTGCTTTGTAGTTGTCCTCGTTTACAAATTGATGTCTCTAGTTTCCTGTTTTCAGTCTCCTAAGTTTATTTTACTTTGGATACTTGTGTATCTGGCTGGTTTCAGGGTCATGTTGGCATGTGTGTTAGTCCTAGGCTGTTGTTTGCTGTTGTCAGTTCTTTGTCTGAAGGACTCCCTTTAGCAGCTCTTGTAAGATTGGTCTGGTTTTTACAAATTACCTTAATTTCTATTCATATGGAAGAGTCTTAATTTTGCCATTGTGTTTGAGGGACAGGTGGCACAGGACCTGGGGCTGGGTGTGGTTCTGCCCATCTGCTCTCTGCCCCACGAACCTCCTTGGCACCATGGCCTTGTTCCTCTCCATGGACCTTCTTTTTTTTTTTTTTTATTAGGATTTGGGTGAAGATTTACAGAGTAAATTCACTTTTCATACAGCAGTTCACATATACTTTGTCTCATGTCATTGACCAAAATTTACAATGCAGCAGCTCCCCTCCCACTTCCTCCCCATAGTTACCTCCTCCCAGTGTCCATCCCTTCATACTCTTCGAGAGGCCCATTGTCTGCCAACCCTGTATATGATCTTGGATACACTCTCCATTTAGACATACATAATTGTTTAGCTTGTTCACCCATCTATCCGTCCCTATACCCATGTTTGCTTTCATTGACAACTCAGTATTGTATTTACAAAGGGGTTCATATTTGTTGTTTGTACTGCCCATGTAACTCTCTCTGTCTTTCTCATCCTCAATGCTGCCATATTGGTCACTCACATTTGGTACATTGCCCTTCTCTTCACCCAAATCAATATTTATCTCTATCTATCTAACAGCATTCCCTCCCACCCCTGGTAACCAACAAAGAAAATGTCCTCCAATATATAAACCTTTCCTTAACTTTCACAATAACGGACTAATACAATATTTGTCCTTTTGTGACTGACTTATTTCGCTCAGCATAATGTCCTCCAAGTTCATCCACGTTATGCGGTGTTTTGCAGATGCTACATTATTCTTTAGCATTGCATAGTATTCCATTGTGTGAATGTACCAAAGTTTGGTTATCCATTCCTCAGTTGTTGGACATCTAGGTTGTTTCCAAGTTTTGGCTATTGTAAATAGTGCTGCGATGAACATCGGCGTGCATATATCTGTTCTTGTTTCCATGGACCTTCTTGATGCCACAGCCTCGTTCCTCTATTTGTGAAGTGATGGGATGGGTGGGGTGGGGTCTGCTCTCGCATGGTAACTTACATTTTAAATTTGTTCCTGGATTTGTAACACTTAAATGATTTTTTTATTTCTTAGGCACAAATATTTAAACATGGAAAACGTGAAGACTGCTTACCCTATGGTGAGTTCATGTTTAAGAGAAGACATGTTTGTGGTGTGAGTCTGCCCATGTATGATTGCGTGTGTCACCTGACCGTTTTGTTCATAGGTAAAAAATCTGTGACTTGTTACCTTTGGACACTGTCATAGCTCTTTTTGTCTGTTTGTTTTAGTCTCTCTGTGTGTGATAATAACTGGACTTTCAGTAAAATCCTGTAATTGTCAGAAATTCAGGAGATTACTGAGGGCCTCGTACTGGAGGCCGAGGTGTCTCATGGCTCCCTGACTCCATGTTCCATGTGTTTGATCCTGGGGTACCTTGTGGGGGTGGGACAGCTGAGGTCATCCTTCCCCCAGGGGTACCATGTGCTCCTGTAGTGGTGGCCTCACCCCTGCCTCAGTCTGTCTAGGTCAGGGGGCACTATGTGCTCCTGGAGCAGCAGCCCCACCCCTGCCTCAGTCTCTGGACCTCACTTTATGGGCATGACTGCATCAGTGCTGCTCTTGTCTCTTCAGAGAGCTTTATTACCTGAACCAAAGGAAATGTCTCACAGTTCTGTGCTTTAGATGTCTGAGCTTTTTTTTGAATAGTGGAGTCCTTTCATTTTGTACGTTTTTATTAAGGAAATTCTGACCATATGTAAAGAAAGAGACGGACTGGTAGAGTGACCCCTGTGTTTGTGTCTGAAGCTTCAGCGTTTGCCCCCATTGTGTTTGGTCATTCCTTGTAGGTTCAGTTCCTGTGAGTAGTCAGGGACGCTGTGAGAGTGTTACCTTGGTGGCCGGCATGCCAGCTGGTGGCCACTCAGTGTCTCCTCCCTTTCAGCCTGGGGGAACCGTCCTGTGACTTGAATGTGCAAATACCCTTCAGGAGACCCAGGTTGCTGTCGCTTCATGGTCCTTCCTGTATTTTGATGACTTGACTCGAAAGATAAACATTTAGAATCTGTGCCCACCGGGACCCCTCCCATGGCTCACTGATACTGGCTTGCTGACACTCATGTTTCTGTTCACATCCCAGGCCATGTTCCAGGCTGTTGGCCTACCCTAGGCTGAGCTCTGGGCTCCATACATCCGTTGCCCATTTGCTACATTCAGTGGGTCCGTCTCCAGTGAGGTCTTCCTGTGGTCACTGTCTCAGCTCAGGCCTCTGCAATATTGTCTTTCCACTGTTGTCCCTTGACTCCACTGCAGACAAGCAAGGACGTGACCCTGGCCCCTTTACCTGTCTCTGACCTTTGTTGCCCTTGTTACTCAGCAGCCTGCCCCTTTTGCATTCTCACCACTCTGCTGACCTCCAGAGGTGCTGCTCACACAGGACCCTCACTGGGTGGCCACTTGGCATGGCGCACTTGCAGGATCTGCCCAGTTGGCGGGGTCCTGGGGCCATCAATGCCAGAGACTGATGAGGCAGGTTGGGAATTGCTGGCAAACCTTCCCCTTACTGAGCCTGACGTGTGGGAGACCGATGAGGCAGGTTGAGAATTTGATGATCCTCCCCCGCCCCCTGACGCTGAGCCTGGCGTTTGGGAGACTGACGAGGCAAGTAGAGAAATGCTGGTGACCCTGTCCCCTGCACTGAGCCTGACATCGATGAGGCAGGTTGGGAATTTGACGGCCTCCTTCCCCATAATGCTAAGCCTGGCATGCTGTCATTTCAGCCTCCATTGTTCTCAAGTGCCTTGACGCCTGCAGACTCTCGGAGGGCAATCATACCCCGCTCCGGAAGCTTGGAATGAAGCTCGTCCAGCGTTTGGGGCTGACCTTCCTGAGACCCAGGGTGGCGAAGTGGAGGTGGGTAGAATGAGCCCGAGGCAGCTCTTTCTTGCTGACGTCTTGACTTGTTTGTCCCAGGTGGCAGAGGGCTGATGAATAAAAAGGTCTGTCACATACCAGTTTCTTATTCTCAGAAGCAGTTCTAGGTTGAAAAGGAGCAGTCTTCCCTTTGGTTAGTCATCTTCCAGGTAGAATAATCAAAGCTGGAGTGATGACAAGCTAAATGGGTTGCTGGGTCTTATGTGACACATACAGACCCAAAGTGTTATCTCAACACGTGTGTGATGGGCTCATTAGAGGGATCGTTCACATTTCTCCTTTGTACTGAATCTTCCTAATCAGTGTGTGTTTGTGCTTTGCTGCACATTTCAGTCTTTCAGTCCAGACTGGCCATGTTTCAGGGGCCCCATCACCATCTGTGGCTGGGCGTCCATTCTGGGTGGCACCCTTGTGTCTTCTCTGAGTTCTGTCAATTACCGAGAGACTGCTAAAAGCCACTGCCTCTAGTCGATTCCAACTCATAGCGGCCCCCATTGGGTTTCCAAGGCTGTCAATTTTTATGGAAGTATATTGCTTCATCTTCCTCCTGAGGAGCAGCTGGTGGGTGTGAACCACTGACCTGGTTTGCAGCCAGATGTCTTACGCACTATGCCACCAGAGCATGAAATCTTCATGCCAGCTGTGGATTTCTGCATCTCTGATTTCATTCTGTCAGTTTTGTTTCGGGTATTTTGAATAGTAGGAGCACACGTGTTTAAGATTACCTCTATCATTACGAGATACCCCCTTTCTCGTGGTAAAGTGTGGTGTGTCTGACGTTAACATCACCTTAGCGTCCCTGCCCCTGTCTGAGCGGATTTGCCCATATGTTTTTCCTTTGAGCCAATCTCTGTCTTTGTAGTGAAAGTGGGTTTCTTGTACTCGGCATGTAGAGTCCTGGGTTTTCCTTTCTCTCTTTCATCTGACAGTCCTTTTTTTCACTGTAGTGTTGAGTACATTTGCATCGACTGTAATTATTAATGTGGTCGGGTTTAAGTCTACCATTCTGTTTGTTTTCTTTCTCTTCCGCCTTTCATTTTCCTTTATTGTAATTTTTTCTTTTTTTTTTTAACATTATACCTTCTTCATTTTATCCCTGATTGATTTTTGTAGTATTTTGTAGTGGTTACCCTAGAAATCACAGGCGTGCCCTCATAGTCTGCCTCCAGAAGGGTTTTGCTCTTCCCAAACAGCATGAACTTTAAGCTGTTTAACTGTTTGCCCTTCATGCCCTTCCCTCCCATCTTTTTTACATTGTAGCTGTATATTTTACTTCTGCAAGTACCCTTAACCCTGTGGGACGTGGTGGTGGTGGTTTCTTCTTCAGCAGTAGGTACTTTTCCTGAATTTCTCCACATATTTAGTTTTTCAGTGTTGTCCGTCTGTCTTCCATTCGGGATCCTTTCTCATCAGCCTGAAGAACTTCCTCTAGTATTTCTAGCATTGAAGATTTGGCAAAGGTGATGTCTCAGGTTTTGTTTGTTTTAGAAGATCTTTACTTGTCCTTCTTTTTGAAAGATGCCTGTGCTGGGTATGGAATTACAGGTTGCCACTTCTCCCCGAGCACCTCAAAGGCATGATCCCATTGTCTTTGGATCCCATCATTGTGCCGTTCTGATTGATGCTCTCTGATGTCAGTAAGAATTTTTATTCTCTCTCTCCTTTTTTTTTTTTTTTTAATTTTTATTGTGATTTGGGTGAAAATTTACGGAGCAAATTCACTTTCCATGTAGCAGTTCACATACACTTTATCTCTTGGCACTGACTGCAGCTTACCCCAGTGCAGCAGCTCTCCTCCCGCTTCTTCCCCATAGTTACCTCTTCCCTGTGTCTTTCCCTCCCAGGCACTCCTGCCCCCTGAGCTGTCGGCCCTTCTGTTCTCCCATGATTGATCTCTCCAAGGAGTGTTATCTACCTATTGTAAAGGCTCGTATGCCTGTCTTTTGTTTGGCTGGAAGCCACAGGTGTGGGTTCAATTCCAGACCTAACGGGCAACTAGGGGCCATAGTCTAAGTGGTTCCATCAGACTCTATCAGACCAGCAAACCTGGTCCTTTTTTTTAAAAAAATGATTTTGAGTTTTGTTCCACATTGTTCTCTCACTCTATCCAGGATCTCCTACATAGAACCCCCCCTGAGTGGTTGACAGTGGTAGCCGGCCACCATCTACTTCTGGTCTCATAGTCATGTAGGCTAAGGATCACATGGTGTACCAGTCGCTTGAACTAATTGTTTCCGTGAATCTTTCATTTTTTTCGTTCTTCTTTGCTTTGAACGAGGAGAGACCCATCATTGCATCTGGATGGCTGCTTGCAGGCTTTTAAGATCCCAGTCGCTACTCGCCAAAGTAGCTTACAGAACAGTGTTTTTGTGTAGTATGTTATGCCAGTTGATTTTGATGTCCCTTGCAGTCATTGTCCCAAGCCCACAGGTCCAACTACTCACTCCCTCTGGGTAGCTGGCTGTGCCCAAGAAGTGAGTACAATCTTGTTCCTTGTCAGCTCTACTAAATACCTGGGAATTCTTTTTTTTTTTTTTTTTTTTATTAGGATTTGGGTGAAGATTTACAGAGTAAATTCACTTTTCATACAGCAGTTCACATATACTTTGTCTCATGTCATTGACCAAAATTTACAATGCAGCAGCTCCCCTCCCACTTCCTCCCCATAGTTACCTCCTCCCAGTGTCCATCCCTTCATATTCTTCGAGAGGCCCATTGTTTGCCAACCCTGAATATGATCTTGGATACACTCTCCATTTAGACATACATAATTGTTTAGCTTGTTCACCCATCTATCCGTCCCTATACCCATGTTTGCTTTCATTGACAACTCAGTATTGTATTTACAAAGGGGTTCATATTTGTTGTTTGTACTGCCCATGTAACTCTCTCTGTCTTTCTCATCCTCAATGCTGCCATATTGGTCACTCACATTTGGTACATTGCCCTTCTCTTCACCCAAATCAATATTTATCTCTATCTATCTAACAGCATTCCCTCCCCTCCCCTCCCACCCCTGGTAACCAACAAAGAAAATGTCCTCCAATATATAAACCTTTCCTTAACTTTCACAATAATGGACTAATACAATATTTGTCCTTTTGTGACTGACTTATTTCGCTCAGCATAATGTCCTCCAAGTTCATCCACGTTATGCGGTGTTTTGCAGATTCTACATTATTCTTTAGCGTTGCATAGTATTCCATTGTGTGAATGTACCAAAGTTTGGTTATCCATTCCTCAGTTGTTGGACATCTAAATACCTGGGAATTCTTATAGAACATACCAATACACTTGTAGAAATATTGTCTGCCAACCCTATACATGGTCATGGACACATCCCCCCTACATAGACATACCTAATAGTTCAGCCTGTCCACCCATTTATATCTCTTTTATTCTTTTTATTCTGTGGCTGCTTTTAAGACTTTCCTGTTTATCTTTGTTTTTCAGTGGCTTGACTGTGATGTGCTTGGATAGGATTTTTTTTGTATTTCTGTCTCATTGGAGTTCCCAGAGCTGGAGTCTGTGGGTTGATACCTTTCATCAGATTTGGAAAATTCTCTCGTTATTTCTTCACCTCTTGCTTCTGTCCCATTCCCTGTCTTCTTCTAGGACTCTGAATTATAAGCATTCTCCTTTCATGGGGAGATCGAGGCATAGGGAGTTCAAGACCCGTGCAAGAGGCTTACAGCCAAGTGGACAGGAGCTGGGACCAGAGCCCACGCGCCAGGTCTCCTGCCCCTCAGTGGGATACGGCTCCTGCATTGGGGGATGTGGCTGGGCCCGCATCCTAGTTAGGAAGCTGTGGCCACACTCAAGGAGAGGTCCTGCTGGCCTTGACTTGGGTGCAGAGTTGCAGGAGTTGGCAGGAGCAGGTAGCAGATGAGAGATGGAGCATGAGGGTGATATGGGCCTTGGTGTCAGGCCTGGTGGGTGGTGGATGAAGTGCTGTTGCTGAAGACAGGAGGCTGGGGACATGTGCCAGCTTGTCCTGGGAGGGTGTGCACGTGGCTGTGCCAGGCCCCTCATGTGCACATTCTTGTCATCATGTGTCACTCACGCTGTGTCGAGTGCACGTTCTCATTGTCATCATGTGACCCTCATGCTGTATCTAGTGCACGGTCTCATCGCTCACGTGTCCTTCACGGTGTGAGAATGTGCACTCAACACAGTGTGAGGGACACGTGACAATGAGAACACACACTCGACACAGTGTGAGGGACACATGATGACATGAATGTGCACTAGACACAGTGTCAAGGGACACATGATGATAAGAACATGCACTTGACACAGTGTTGGGACATGGGGCCCCCTGCCAAGTGTGTGGGGTTTTCATGAGTATCTTTTAATATTGGAAGTGATGTTGGCGTGTTGATTTCAGTTGTGCAGATAATTTAGTTTTTTTTTTTTAATGTGGTGAAAATACACCCACATATCGAGCGACACAGCACCGTCCATGTTACAAGTCAGTGGCGTCTGTTCTGTTTTCCATGTTCTACTACCGTTACTGCGGTCCTTTTCCAGAATATGCCACCAGTGTTACATGCCTGAGACAAAAACTCCCCTTTCATAGTCTTTGATTTCTATATATTTGCTTATTTCATGTAAGTGTTTGTTTTTTTATGACTGATTCGTTTCACTAAGGAGTTCTGTTGGCACAGTGGTTAAGCACTCAGCTGCTAACTGAAGGATCAGTAGTTTGAACCTACCAGTTGCTCTGTGGGAGAAAGATGAGGCAGGCAGCTTCCACAAAGATTACAGCCTGGGCAACAGTATAGGGTAGTTCCACTCTGTCCTCTGGGGCACTGTGAGTCAGAATTGACTCCATTTGGGCTTTGCTTCTGTAAAGATTATAGCCTTGGAAACCCTGTGGGCAGTTCCACTCTGTCCTCTAGGGGCGCTGTGGGTCAGAATCGACTAGATGGCATTGGGTTTTCACTCAGCGTGATTTCAAGGGTCACCCGTGTTGTGGCATTAGAACTTCATTGCTCTTTATGACTGAGCATTGTTCCGTTGTGTAGATGGGCCACGTTTTGTTTATCCATCATTTGTTGGTGGTCATCATGGTTGTTTCCACTTTTGGCTTTTGTGAAAAGAGCTGCAGTGCACGTTGGTGTACAGGTTTCTGTATGCCTGCCTGTCTTCACTTCTGGGTATGAACCAAGGATTGGGGTTGCTAGGTCCTACAGTCATTCTGTGCATGCAGCTTCTCCATGGTGGCGGCCCTGGTTTGCCTTCCCACTAGCTGTGGGCATGGTGGTGGCCCTGGTTTGCCTTCCCACTAGCTGTGGGCATGGGTTCCAGCTCTCCATGCGCTGCCAGCACTTGTTTTCTGTTTTCTTGATCATAGTGTTCAGTGGGGGTGCGGGGATAACATGGTGTGGTTTAGATTTGCATCCCACTGATGGGTGATGAAAGGAGCTCTGGAGTGAACACAGTTAAGTGCTTGGCCACTAGCAGGAAAGTCAGCAGCTCAAACCTACCCCGAGGTGCCTCAGAAGACAGGCCTGGCACTCAGCTCCTGAGAAGCTGCAGCCTTGAACACGCTGTGGGGGCAGTTCTTCTCTGCTCAAGCGGGTCGCCATCAGTCAGGACTGTCTCACGGGGCCGTCAGTCAGGATCGACTCGCAGGGCTGTCAGTCAGAGTCGACTCGCGGGTCACCATCAGTCAGGATCGACTTGCAGGGCTGTCAGTCAGAGTTGACTCATGGGTCACTGTCAGGATTGACTTGTGGGTCGCCATCAGTCAGGATCAACTCGCGGGGCCGTCAGTCAAGATCACCTCATGGGGCTGTCAGTCAGGATCGAGTCACGGGGCCGTCAGTCAGGATCGACTCGCGGGGCCGTCAGTCAGAGTTGACTTGCGGGTCACTGTCAGGATCGACTTTGCGGGTTGCTGTCAGTCAGGATCGACTTGGCGGGATGTCAGTCATGATCGACTTGCGGCCAGCTGACAACAGCAGTGGCTGCTGGTGTTCATATTTTCACGTGCTCACTGGCCTTTTGAAGATCTCTGGTGAAATGTCTCTTCAAGTCCTTTGCTCATTTTTTCTTTGGGTTGTTTATCTTTTTGTTGTGAAGTGGTGGAAGTGTACATGTGCTCTGGGTTGTATGTTGTTGTTGTTATGTGCCGTCGAGTCGAACCCGACTCATAGAGACCCCGCCTTGGGTTTCCGAGGCATTATCACCTTGGAAGTAGATTGCCCAACCTTCCTTCCGAGGAGTGGCTGGTGGGTTTGAACTGCCAGCCTTCTGGTTAGCAGTCAAGTGCCTTAGGCACTACGCTACCAGAGCTCTGGGTAGTAAACCCTTATCTGATTTATGGTCCCTGGGAATCTTCCCCCAGTCTGTAGGACAAATTTTCACTTTGTTGATGAAGTAAGATGGCTCCTCTTCAGCTTCTGTGATGTAAGAACTGATTGAAATGAGTGCTTGTGTTCTGTGCAGGTATCACCGTGGGTACCGGTCTCTGGCTGCTAATCTGAAGCTTCCCACCCAGAAACAAAATGAGCAGACAGCTCACACTGAGACGTCGGATGGGGAAGATGACTATGATGTACCAGAGGAGGTAGAAAACGTGATAGGTACGTGGACGTCCTGGGCCCTGGATTAGGTCCCTCACTCCTGGAGCTTCCGGAAGGGGATGTGCACTGAGCCACTCAGCATAGTGCTGCTGGTGCTGAACTGGCGGGAGGCACGGCTTCATCCCCACTGCTTCGTGCCCATGCCCACTGTCTCCTGCCACCTCCTCTGGTGCAGGTCACGTGAATCTGCTGCTATTTCTCCTCTTTGTGGTTGTTGTCACTGACTTTCCATTGCCTTCCTCACTTACGGAGCCTGGGGCACACAAAACTAGGGGGAGTAACCCAGAACCTGGGGGGACACGCGGGACCCAGGGGTCAGTGGCCTCGCAGCTGTGTCTGGTGCAGAGCATGGCTGGTCGCTGTGGAGCTCCTTTGCTTCTGAAGATGCTGTGGTGGCCTTTATCTTACTCTGTTGTGCTCTCGATAGTTGGGTTCACTGTTTAAGAATGACGACAGAAATTGCTTTTAAATGAACGTTTAGAAGCAGGGAGTCTTGTAATTCCAATGATGAACGCTGGTGGATTTCCTTCAAGGTGTGTGCTTGAGTGTGTGCCCAGTGGACGGCCCAGGTTGCATGAGTAAGAATTCTGTTTAGAGTGACAGTTCATTCTGGTGCATCTGTTCCTACAGAACAGCTGCTGGCCGGGCTCAAGGACAAGGACACAGTTGTGCGGTGGTCAGCAGCCAAAGGGTATGTGCCTGTGTTCTTCACTGTGAGCCAAGTTTGATGGTTTCATCTTCCAGATGTTCCTTTCTCTGCCCTGCTGTGTTCTCATCACTGTACCCTCTCCCCACTGTGTGTGTGCACCCCCCATCCTCATTGCCTCGCTGTCCCCCACAGACAGGTATGCAGCTCCCCCATCCTCATCACCTCACTGTCCCCCACAGACAGGTGTGTAGACACCCATCCTCATCACCTTGCTGTGCCCCACAGACAGGTGTGCAGCCCCCCCATCCTCATCTCCTCGCTGTCCCCCACAGACAGGTGTGTAGACACCCATCCTCATCACCTCACTGTCCTCCACAGACAGGTCTGCAGCCCCCATCCTCATCACCTCACTGTCCCCCACAGACAGGTGTGCAGACACCCATCCTCATCACCTCACTGTCCCCCACAGACAGGTATGTAGCCCCCACTCATTACCTCGGTGTCCCCCACAGACAGGTGTGCAGCCCCCCATCCTCATCACCTCGCTGTCCCCCACAGACAGGTGTGCAGACACCCATCCTCATCACCTCACTGTCCCCCACAGACAGGTATGCAGCCCCCACTCATTACCTCGGTGTCCCCCACAGACTAGTGTGCAGCCCCAGTCCTTACCACCTTGCTGTCCTCCACAGACATGTGTGCAGACACCCATCCTCATCACTTCGTTGTCCCCCACAGACAGGAGTGCAGCCCCAGTCCTTATCACCTCACTGTCCCCCACAGACAGGTGTGTAGACACCCATCCTCATCACCTCACTGTC